ACCCCCCCATCCCTTCCCCCACCCCGGCTGCTTCTTCACTCTGATTTGTTCCTCTGGTTGTTTAACAGGCTCTACTGGAGTACAAGGAATCCACCTTGCCTTCATAATAGGATGTGGGATTTGTCCTGGAGGGCACAAAAGAAAAGAATATTTGTTATGATCTAAAAGCCTTTAATTTTTTTTAAAGAAAATGTCTGCCTCTCCACGCATGCCTCTTTCTCCTCCTCTCCTCGCCTCTTAATGTACAGCACTGAGCGGAGAACAAAGGCTGTTAAGGAAACATCTTTTTGGCTCTGATGGGTGCTGAAATAGATGGAGTTATTGTTATGCTTTCACAGCTATTTATACACTGCCACATTATACACACTCTATCGGTGTTTTTCCATCAAAGACAAAATCAAATTAGGTGAAAGTGTTTTCTGTTTGCTTGTCTCTTCATTGTTTGCAATAACTTTTCTTTCTTCAGGTGACTTGGGCTCAATTTCTGAGAAGGCTGTTTGGGCCTTAAGGCAAAGGGGGAAGCCAACACATCTCTCAGGAGCCAAGGGAGGAAATGCCCAATCTTTCCATGTCAGCTTTTCTCAGGGTCCACAAGGAAAATTGCTAGAAAAAGCCCATTTCTCACTTTCACTCAAGTTTCTACTACCTAGAAGCTCATAATCAAAGAATAAGTCATCAAGCACGTTTCTTCTTCTAGTTTAGGAATATATATGTGTGTGTGTGTGGGTATGTGTGTGTTTGGCCGTATGGTTGTGTGTGTAAATCGATTGATCAATTTATTTTAGTTACAAATGCTTTAAAAGGTCTTTTTAAGGAATGATGAAGTCCCATTAAAGCTGCAGCATAGCTGTACATATTTGAAAGCACTCTAAGTCTTTTTTTAATTTTGATGTGGAACAGGAAAAGTAAAAATCGAGTTTTACCACTAAGTAACTTCTATGAGACCCAAGTTTTGTTTCATCTCTTTATAGTATCTATTGTCAGGCTTTATATTAAATTAAAATGCAAGATTCCAAACAATGGGTGGGAACTGTCACACTCTTGGTACCCACACACCATGATACCTTTTTGGTTCTGTGCTCCATTTTAATTAAGTACTATTTTTATTTTTCTCTCTGAAAACGAAGGCTGCTGGCGAAGTGTCTAAACACTTGTATAAAGTGTGGAAGAAGGTTTGTACTCTGACAACAACCACAGGACACCTGGGAGTGGGGTGGGGAGTACCGGTGGAAAAGCCTGCTTCCTTCCAGTTTTGCCAGACCAGTAGCTTTCCAATTGCAGTTTAGAGGTGATATTCTATGTGGGGAGATTGAATATGTTTTCTCTCAACAACATTACCTGAATTGAAAACAGGCTTGCGATGGATTAAATAATGGTGGATTAAACATTTCCCCCTAGATTATTTTTGTTTCTCCCAGGCAGAATCAGTCCCTGTTAGGACTAAAGCAGATAAATGCAATAGAAGCCAACACTGGCCCATTTATATTCCTCCTCAAATCACTAAATATTTCCCCAAACGGGGATGAAAACAAAAATAGATTTTACCCATCAGGCTAGTCAGATAAGCCAAGGCCTCAGAAGGCTAGGACATCTCCTTCAATGTCACCACTACCAAATATGAGCCATTTTCAGAAACTCCCTTTTTTTT